TGGGAGTTGAAGTCCACAAGTCACAGAAGAGCCAAGGTTGCCTACCCCTGGCTTAGATGGTCTTGAATGATTCTTCGCTGATTAACTGTCTCCCGTCAATATAGTGGTGTTGGTTCTCGTGGCTGGTATCTGTTGAGCATGGTTGAGCTTCAGGGTTTGGTGATCGTGGTCTGAACAGCCACGGGCAAGGTGGTCTGTACTAACAGAAAAGAATATCCGTAGTTCAGGGTTGGACTGTGGGGTCCAACAACTCTAGGCTTGGTCGGTTTTGATGGCCATCACCAACTCATACAAGGGAACCATCTTCTGAATGGACTTGACCTCTTCTGGAGAGACCAAACATCTAAGGGAGACTTCCTGGTCTGGAAAATTTCTTTCTAGCCCCCTGGAAGACCCCAGTGCAACCCCAAAACTGGACACCAGAGAAGACCTTGGTGGACTTTTGCACAGTGGTGGAGGACAAATGGAGGAGGAGGAGGAGGAGGAGGAGGAGGAGGAGGAGGAGGAGGAGGAGGAGGATGACGACGACTATGGAGTCCTGGATTCTCTCTGACCTCAGTTATTTTCTTGCAGATGTTTCATTGCCCAACTAGGGAACATCATCAGTGCTAGAAAGGAGTGGGGTTTGCAGAGAGGAGGAGGAGGAGGAGGAGGAGGAGGAGGAGGAGGAGGAGGACAATGACGACGACGATTGTGGAGTCCTTGATGCTCTCTGACCTCAGTTGTTTTCTTGCAGATGTTTCACGACCCAACTAGGGAACATTATCAGTGCTAGCACTGACTTTGGAAGTTGTCCACCCATCTTAAAATTCTTGAGGTTGAAAGCTGGAGATTTCACACATTTTCCCTTGTGTCGTGCCCCCAAAATTCCTTTCTGACGCAGAATTTGAATAATATACACTTCCATTTATAATTATAATAATAACAATAAAGTTGGAAGGGACTTTGGAGGTCATTTAGTCCAACCCCCTGCTCAGGCAGGAAACCCTATACCATTTCAGACAAATGACAAATGTCCAATCTCTTCTTAAAGACTTCCAGTGTTGGAGCATTCACCACTTCTGGAGGCAGGTTGTTCCACTGGTTAATTGTTCTCACTGTCAGGAAGTTTCTCCTTAGTTCCAGGTTGCTTCTCTCCTTGATTAGTTTCCATCCGTTGCTTCTTGTCCTGCCTTCAGGTGCTTTGGAGAATGCTTGACTCCCTCTTCTTTGGGGCAGCCCCTGAGATACTGGAACACTGCTTATTCTGTCACCCCTCGTCCTTCTTTTCATTAAATTAGACATATTCAATTCCAGCAACCGTTCTTTATATGCTTTAGCCTCCAGTCCCCTAATCCAGTCCCCCTTATTAGGGTGGGTCATACAGTCAGCCAGATGTTTGGATTGGATCTGGCATTTTTAATCCATCAACTGAGTCCCTCCCAAGGACCTGGGATAGGCAGATATTCTTGTCTGAGTTAATTAAAGATATCATCACAGGATGTGACCTGTCCTAAATCAAGCTGCCTTTTGCAATAGACCGATGGTGACTTTGTCAATACTGATGCTCCAGATGTTTGGGGGTTGCACCCAAGTCGTTCTACTTCTATTTGCAGGTCTATGTGTTTTTCTGATTTTCTCCGGTTCTTTCTCTTCTCTTCTCCTGTCCCCAGCTACCGTCATGTCCATTATCCAGACTTTTTTTGTCTTTCTTATCAACAATCGTTAAGTTGGGAGTGTTTTGTGGCAGGCCGCTTGTCTTGTTTGAATTCTAGCCATCCCAGAGCAATTTATCTTCTTCATTGTTATTTTATCTGTTTTGGGGTCTGTTTCTGTGTTCCAATATTTGGGTTTTAAGACTTTTACAAGCCAGAGGATTAGGGCATCCACCTTTACAAGTTGGGCTGGTTGAAATTTAGTCTTTCAAAAATAACTACAGGTAGTCCTTGACTTACAACGGCTTATTTAGTGACCATTCGAACACCACTGAAAAGAGTGACATGACCTTTTTTCGCACTTACAACTGTTGCAGCATCCTGATCAAAATTCAGACCTTTGGCAACTGATTCGTATTTACGACGGTCGAAGTGTTCCGGGGGGGGTGTCACGTGATCCCCTTTTGTGACCTTCTGATGAGCAAAGCCAGTGGGGAGGCCAGATTCATTTAACAACCGTGTGACTAACTTAACAAACACAATGATTCACTTAACAACTGTTGCAAGAAAGGTCCTAAAACAGGGCAAAAGTCACTGAACAAGTGTCTCACTTAGCAACATAAATTTTGAGCTCAATTGTCGTAAGTTGGGGATTACCTGTACCAGGCCCTAATTGGGTTTTGGATCAATCCAGACAGCTGTTTCCTACAGCTGGATCTCTCTCTCAGGTTTCCTTTAATCTCCTAAATTTTCTCCTTCATTTATTAATTTTTTTTCCCTTCCTCCAACTCTCTTATTTCTCACGGACGGGTTTTGCAGAGTGGCATTATACTTTAATTACCCCAATAAATGAAACCGGTGCAGTAAATTTTCTTTATACCTAATATTACTCAGTTTGCCAAGTTCCAAAGCAGCTGAAACTCCTGTTTTTTCTCTCTCTCTCCCTTTCTGTACACGTCCAGGTGCCTAAAGTGTTGATTATAGTTCCCAGGAGTTTTAAGTATTTGTTATCTGGATTGCAATGCTCACAGTGGGCATTTTCCAGCTGTGGCGGAGATTATTGTGTCACGAAAATGTGCTTTCTTGGCAGAAAATCTGCAGTTCCAGACTTGACAAATACAGAGCCAGGCCTAAAAATATGTAGATAGTTCTCAACTTTCAACAGTTCCTTGAGTGACTGTTCGAAGTTACAAGGGCACTGGAAAAAAAAGTGACTTATGACCATTTTTCACACTTACAACCGTTGCAGTTTCACATGATCCCCTTTTGCAGGGGTCTTCGAACTTGGCCCTTTTATGACTTGTGGACTACAACACCCAGAATTCCTCAGCCAGGATGCTTTGAGACAGGGGTCTTCAAACTTGGCCCTTTTATGACTTGTGGACTTCAACTCCCAGAATTCCTCAGCCAGGCATACTGGCTGAGGAATTCTGGGAGTTGAAGTCCACTCCTCTTAAAGTCTACATCAGGGGTCTTCAGACTTGGCCCTTTTATGACTTGTGGACTACAACTCCCAGAATTCCTCAGCCAAGATGCTTTAAGACAGGGGTCTTCAAACTTGGCCCTTTGATGACGTGTGGACTTCAGCTCCCAGAATTCCTTAGCCAAGCACGCTGGGTGAGGAACTCTGGGAGTTGAAGTCCACTCCTCTTAAAGTCTATATCAGGGGTCTTCAAACTTGGCCCTCTTATGACTTGTGGACTTCAACTCCCAGAATTCCTCAGCCAGGCACGCTGGCTGAGGAATTCTGGGAGTTGAAGTCCACGAGTCCTAAAAGGGCCAAGTTTGAAGACCCCTGCCTTTTTGTGACTTCTGACAAGCAAAGTCAATGGGGAAGCCAGAGTCACTTAACAATCATGTTACTAACTTAACAACTGCAGGGATTCATTTAACAACTGTGGCAGGAAAGGTTGTAAAACGGGGCAAAAACACATTGACCAACACCAATTCTGCGTCCAGTTGTGGTTGAAGTCAAGGACCGCCTGTAGATATAGTTGCACCTGGAAGGAGAACGCAAGGAACTTGTCCTCATTGGACTACCCAGGACCAGTTGTTAGATGTTGTGTGGATTTTGCCCTCTGCTCTAAAGGAAGGCACAAAGTTGTGCACCCAAAACGATGCCGTTGAGAAGAATGAAACCTGGTGTGCAAATAAGAAAATTGGATTTCTTCTGCAAGTGTCTATCTGGGACTATCTCTCCACGAAGGAGAAAAAAGGGGCAGTGGGACAACTTTCCTGCCCTGAAGTTCTTTAGATGTTCTGGATTGAAAATTCTCAAAGCTCCAAGGTGAAATCTTTGGAGCTGCGGAGTCCTTGGTGTTCGCTGAGCTTGGTTGTTTGCTTGCAAACATTTCATGACCTGATTGGGTAACATGGGCAAGCTCCATTATGGTCGTATGTTGAGGACTACCTATAGAAGAAAATAGACTAGGACAGAGGTCCCCAACCTTTTGGGCACCAGGGACCAGTTCCGTGGAGAGAGGTTTTTCTGCGGACCGGAGGGTGCGTGATTTTGTGTGCTGCCTGCATCTCGCGGATGAGGTTTTGCTTGTTTGTGCGGCCCGGTTCTGGCATGCCGCTGCCCGGTACTGCTCCACAGCCCGGGGATTGGGGACCCCTAGACTAGGAGACCTCCAGGGTCCCTCCCAACCCTGTTAGTGTGCTGTTATGCTATTCTGCTATTCTGTTTCTCTGCTAATCTTTTATTCTGCTATTCTATTACTCTACTATTCTGCTATTCTGTTACTCTGCTAATCTGTTATTCTGCTATTCTGTTATTCTGTTACTCTACTATTCTGTTATTTTGCTATTCTGCTATTCTGTTACTCTGCAATTCTGTTATTCTGCTATTCTGTTACTCTGTTATTCTGTTACTCTACTATTCTGTTACCCTGATAGTCATTTACTCTGCAATTCTATTCTGTTACTCTATTCTTCTTCTAATCTGTTATTCTGCTATTCTGTTATTCTGTTACTCTACTATTCTGTTACTCCGTTATTCTATTACTCTGCTATTCTGTTACTCTGCTATTCTTTTACTCTGCAATTCTATTCTGCTATTCTGTTACTCTATTATTCTGCTAATCTGTTCTGCTATTCTGTTATTCTGTTACTCTACTATTCTATTATTTTGCTATTCTGTTACTCTGCTATTCTGTTATTCTATTTACTATTCTGTTCTGCTATTCTGCTATTTTGCTACTCTGCTATTCTGTTATTCTGTGTTATTCTGCTATTCTGTTAACTCTGTTTTCTGTTATTTGTTATTCTGTCTTTTGGCGTTCGAAGGGCGGCTGATCTCAGCCCCTGAAGAAGCTTGGGATCACATCCACTTAAAGACCCCCTTCTCCTTTCTCTCCCTCCCAGTGGCATTGGGCTGGCTCGGGCCCACTTCGAAAAGCAGCCCCCGTCCAACCTCAGGAAATCCAACTTTTTCCACTTCGTGCTTGCCATATACGACCGTCACGGACAGCCAGTGGAGATCGAGAGGACATCTTTTATCGACTTCGTGGAGAAGGACAGAGTAAGATCCCAACTCCTACGGGGTTCTTTCAAACATCTCCCCAAACACACACCGACACAGAGGAAATAGTCAGGGTGGAATATCCCCCCAAACCTTCCCAGTTGCAGTCATTTTGAATTTGTTTTCCGCCCCAGCAGCCATCAGAATCCAGCAGAGCTAGACGGTTGCTGGAGTAATATTGAAAATATCCTCGATGGCTCCCTGAGCGCCTTTTTCATTCACGTATTTATTTATTTATTGAGCATTTGTAGGGGGGAGGGAAGATAAACCGCAGACGACACAGCATATAAAAGAAAGAAAAGAACCAGGATTAAGTGGCGAGCAGAAACACCCAAGAATCTAAAATAGCATAAAGGGAACGTTGCTGCAACATATAATTATGACATAATAATAATAATAATAATAATAATAATAATAATAATAATAATAATAATAATAATAATAATAATAATAATAATAATAATAATAATAATAATAATAATAAAAATAAAGTTGGGAGGGACCTTGGAGGTCATCTAGTCCGACCCCCTTAAGGCATTATAAACCAGGGGTAGTCAACCTTGGTTCTTTTATGACTCGTGGACTTCAACTCCCAGAATTCCTGAGCCAGAAAAACCCCACAACCTCAACATTTTGCTTTATACTTCACAATGTTTCAGGTCATTCCTATAATAACAAAACCATTTTAATCATCAAAATCCAGCTTTCCGTTTTTTGTTTTTTGTTTCAGTTTCTGGCAAAAAGTCCAGAAACAGTTTCTACGTAGAAACAAAACTTGATAAATGCTCTTAGATTAAAACGGCCCTTTTCTCCTCCTCTGCCCACTTTGTCAAGTTACCTGCTTAGCGCGGTGTGAGTGTCTCCTTAAAACTATCGACTATGATATCTTCAGTCCATGCTAGAAATCTAATTTTCCATACAATTAAAGGATAGTCTTTGGGCAAAGACCCTGATCTAATAAAGATGACGTGTATTGGGCACTGTGTGTGTATTTGGGGGGGTGCCATCTAGATTTTCACACACACACACACACACACACTCACACATGCACACAGAGAGAGAAGGAGAAAGAAAGAAAAAACGAAAGAAAGAAAGAAAGAAAGAAAGAAAGAAAGAAAGAAAGAAAGAAAGAAAGGAAGAAAAGAAGGAAGGAAGGAAGGGAAAGTGGAAAGAGAAAGAAAGAAAGAAAGAAAGAAAGAAAGAAAGAAAGAAAGAAAGAAAGAAAGAGGAAGGAAGGAAGGAAGGAAGGAAGGAAGGAAGGAAGGAAGGAAGGAAGGAAGGAAGGAAGGAAAGAAAGAAAGAAAGAAGGAAAAGTGGAAGGAAGGAAGGAAGGAAATGTGTGTAAAACAAAATATCAAACATACACATAATATACTGATAAATATATATATATTTATATATATATCAGTATATTATATCAGTATAGTATATCAGTATATTCTGATAAATATACAGAAACGAAGGAAGGGAGGAAAGAAAGAAAGAAAGGAAGGAAGGAAGGAAGGAAGGAAGGAAGGAAGGAAGGAAGGAAGGAAGGAAGGAAGGAAGGAATGAAAAGTGGAAGGAAGGAAGGAAGGAAGGAAGGAAGGAAATGTGTGTAAAGCAAAATATCAAACATACACATAAAATATTCCCCTTGACTGAATACTGATAAATATACAGAAAGAAAAAAAAGAAAGAAAGAAAGAAAGAGGGGAAAAAAGAAGAGAGAAAAAGAGAAAGAGTGAGGGAAAGAAAGTGGTAGAGGGAAAGAGAGAAGGAAAGAGAGACAGAAAGAGAAAGAGAGGAGGGGGCTGAGGAAGGAGCCAATCTGGACAGCATATCAAGGCAGACAAGAGGAAGAGGAAGATGGTTGCACCCCAGGCTAATTTCAGCCAGATGCACTTTCAGAAGCTGGCCTCTCTGCCTCTCCTTCCTCAACTCCCTATCCTGACCTAAGGAAGATGGGGGATTCCCCCAAGACTCAGAAAGCAAGAGGCAACCCCAGTTTATCCACCCCCTTGCACACTTTATTGTAACTCCAAAGAAACCGTGTCTCCCGCTTGCCCGCCATTCCTGGTGGAACGTGCCTTTGAGGAACACCAGGTTGAAAATCTCCACTGGGTGCCTTTTTTTTTTTCATTTCCTCCTTCCTTCCCAACAGGAGCAGAACGGAGAGAAAACCAACAACGGCATTCACTACCGGCTGCAGCTGCTGTACAGTAACGGTAAGGACCCTACAACCGGGGCTGTGGTGAAGCCCCGCTGCCTTTGGTGAAGGCTACGCGGAAGACGGAAGACGCAAGACGCTGAGATACATTGGCTCATGCCACGTTTGTGTTGACCCTTCGCCTGCAGTTGACTAGATCAGACAGGGCTCAGGGTGGCTTCAGAAGCTCGCAAGGTATGTTTGCAAGCAGCTGAGGAGAGGACAATCCCCCCCACACACAGCTCACTCCAACTTGGAGGTCAGCATTTGGGGGTCTCCTCTTTTAACCACACTCTGGGCTTCTTGCAAATTGGAAGTAAAGCATTTGTAAGAAACCATTCCTGCCTTGGGGGAGAGTGGCTAAGTTTGTAACACATTGGTATAGACCAGGGGTAGGCAACCTTGGCTCTTTTATGACTGGTGGACTTCAACTCCCAGAATTCCTGAGCCAGCCACGCTGAGGGGAAAGGGAGAGGTTTCCAAGCTGAGCCATGCTGGCTCAGGAATTCTGGGAGTTGAAGTCCATGAGTCATAAAGCGGCCTAGGCCTAGGCCAGAAATAGGCAACCTTGGCTCTTTTATGACTGGTGGACTTCAACTACCAGAATTCCTGAGCTAGCCATGCTGAGGGGAAAGGGACAGGTTTATTGTTTCCAAGCTGAGCCATGCTGGCTCAGGAATTCTGGGAGTTGAAGTTCACGAGTCATGAAGGGGCCTAGGCCTAGGCCAGAGGTAGGCAACCTTGGCTCTTTGATGACTCGTGGACTTCAGCTCCCAGAATTCCTGGTTCAGCCATGCTGAGGGGAAAGGGAGAGGTTTCCAAGCTGAGCCAAGCTGGCTCAGGAATTCTGGGAGTTGAAGTCCACCAGTCATAAAAGAGCCAAGGTTGCCCACCTCTGGTATAGACCCAGGCCAGGGAGACAGATGATTAAACACTGTGGAGACTCTACAAGGCAACGTAATAATCTTGCAGAGTTGTTGTGAGCATAAAAAACAAGGGATGGTTGCCTTGAGTTCCTAGGCCAGGGTTAGGCAACCTTGGCTCTTTTATGACTCGTGGACTTCAACTCCCAGAATTCCTGAGCCAGCCTGGCTCAGCATGAAAACCTCTCCCTTTCCCCTCAGCATGGCTGACTCAGGAATTCTGGGAGTTGAAGTCCACCAGTCATAAAAGAGCCAAGGTTGCCTACCTCTGGCCTAGGCCTAGGCCGCTTTATGACTCATGGACTTCAACTCCCAGAATTCCTGAGCCAGCCTGGCTCAGCTTGGCAACCTCTCCCTTTTCCCTCAGCGTGGCTGGCTCAGGAATTCTGGGAGTTGAAGTCCACGAGTCATAAAAGAGCCAAGGTTGCCTACCTCTGGCCTAGGCTGTCGTTCTCAATCTTGGCAACTTGAAGAGAAGTGGATTCCCAACTCCCAGAATTCCCCAGCCTGGAAAAACACTAACTCTCCAAACTTTGCTTTTTCACAGGGCTCCGAACCGAGCAAGATCTCTACGTACGACTCATTGATTCCATGTCCAAGCAGGTAACCACGCCCTGTGCTTGGGGGTACGATGGGGAGGCATCCTTACCTTTTTGGCTGTGCTTAAGAGGGTCAGCATTGATATTTCTGGAGTTCAGAACAAACGCACCGCAACGCCCATTGCAAGGTCCTCCAAAGGACGCTGGCAATTGTAGTTTGGAGGAAGAGGCAACAATAATTCGCTTAGTGGCTGTTCGAAATTACAACGGCACTGAAAAAAGTGGCTTATGGCCATTTTTTTACACTTCTGACCATTGCAGCATCCCCAGGGTCACGTGACTTACCTTTGGATACTTGACCACTAACATTTAGGACTGTTGCACTGTTCTAGGGTCACATGAACTCGTTTTGCGACCTTTTGACAAGCCAAAGTCAATGGGGGAAGCCAGATTCTCTAAAAAACTGTATTATTAACTTAGCAACTTCAGTGATTCACTTAACAAATGTGCCAAGAAAAATAGTAAAATGCGGTTAAACTCACTTAACAAATGTCTCATTTAACAAATGTCTCACTTAGCAACATAAATCTTGGACTCAGTTGTGGTCATAAGCTGAGGACTACTTGTATATTGCAACAGTAATAACTTCCCCCAAAAAACAGGTCAAAAATTTATAAACTTCTACGTCTATTTGCAACTCAATATGACCTGTGATATGTTCCATATACGAAGGAAAAAATAGTTAACACTTAAAATGAATGACAAAGCAAAAGTTCCAGGCTCTCAGTTAATTATCAGTTATTGTATTTTACTCGTAAAAACTCCCCAGCAGTTTATCTACTACAAATCATTGCAAACATTATCCCTGATCCATCCAGGATCAAATCAAATCAAATCAAATCAGATGTCCCCATTAACCCAGGTTATGAAAAGACAGAACTTTTCGCCAAAGTTCTCCCCCCAAATTAGGCCTTTTCCTAAAAATGGGCTGGCGGAGAAAAAGTGCAATTGGTCCCCGATGTAAAAACAAGCAACTGTTAGAATTTGCACGCTCTGAACAAGCTCGCTCTGGGGGAGGACTCCCAGGGAATTAATTCTTGAAAATAATTGAAGATGCTTCATTAAGTTTCCATCTTATTAATCAACACCATTAAGTGGAGAGGCAGATTCCTGGCTGGGGGGGGGGGTTAAGAGCGCCTGGCCCAGATGGGACAGCGGGTGCTTAACACCTACTTTGCGCCAAGGAGCATACGACGCTGTTTTTTCGAACCCTGGATTTGCTTCCAGAGGTCTGACTTTATGCTTGACCTTAAGTGAAAAGAAGGAAAAGAATCATGCTTTGCTAAATGTCTAGTTTAATGAAGAGAAGGACGAGGGCGGACATGATAGCCGTGTTCCAATATCTGAGGGGCTGCCCCAAAGAAGAGGGAGTCAAGCTATTCTCCAAAGCGCCTGAAGGCAGGACAAGAAGCAACAGATGGAAACTAATCAAGGAGAGAAGCAACCTGGAACTAAGGAGAAACTTCCTGACAGTGAGAACAATTAACCAGTGGAACAACCTGCCTCCAGAAGCGGTGAATGCTCCAACACTGGAAGTTTTTAAGAAGAGACTGGACAGCCATTGGTCTGAAATGGTATAGGGTTTCCTGCCTGAGCAGGGGGTTGGACTGGATGACCTCCAAGGTCCCTTCCAACTCTGATATTCTGTTAACTGGCAGAAGCCAGGATCCAATTCTGTGAGAATCTTAGGGGGGGGGGGATGAGTTGGGAAGGGGAAGGTCCCCCCCTCTCTCTTTCTCTTTTTCTCTCTGTCCTTCCCACCTCCCCATTCATTAGCCATGCAGCCTAATTCTGATTTCCTTTGTTTAACCAAGCTGAGTCCCCCGTGCCCAGCAAGATTGGATGTCAAAGGTCAGGGGACCTTTGCGATCGATAGGAAATCAATTTGAATCCAGAAGAACCAGCTCCCCTATTCGTCCAAGCCCGGGGAAGGAATGATCCATACAATCCTGGTTTATTGACAGGCAGGAAGAGGCAGATTGGAAAGCAAGACTGAAAGGGAGGTGGGTTGGAGACGCGCGGAGAAGTCCAGCCACAAAGAAAATAAAATAGAGAGAATGGACAACCATTTGTCTGAAATGGTATAGGGTTTCCTGCCTGAGCAGGAGGTTGGACTAGATGACCTCCAAGGTCCCTTCCAGCTCTACTCTATTCTATTCTATTCTATTCCATTCCATTCCATATTCTATTCTATCCTATTCTAGTCTACTCTAGTCTACTCCTATTCTACTCTACTCTACTCTACTCTACTCTACTCTACTCTAGTCTACTCCTATTCTGTTCTGTTCTATTCTATTCTATTCTACTCTACTCCTATTCTAGTCTAGTCTACTCTACTCTACTATTCTATTCTATTCTATTCTATTCTATTCTATTCTATTCTATTCTATTCTATTCTACTCTACTCCTATTCTAGTCTAGTCTACTCTACTCTACTATTCTATTCTATTCTATTCTATTCTATTCTATTCTATTCTATTCTATTCTATTCTACTCTAGTCTACTCTAGTCTACTCTACTCCTATTCTATTCTATTCTACTCTACTCCTGTTCTGTTCTATTCTACTCTACTCTACTCTACTCTAGTCTAGTCTAGTCTACTATTCTATTCTATTCTATACTCTACTCTACTCTATTCTATTCTACTCTAGTCTACTCCTATTGTACTCTACTCCTATTCTATTCTATTCTATTCTATTCTATTCTATTCTATTCTATTCCATTCTATTCCATTCCATTCCATATTCTATTCTATCCTATTCTAGTCTACTCTAGTCTACTCCTATTCTACTCTACTCTACTCTACTCTACTCTACTCTACTCTACTCTACTCTACTCTACTCTACTCTACTCCTATTCTGTTCTGTTCTATTNGGTTATGAAAAGACAGAACTTTTCGCCAAAGTTCTCCCCCCAAATTAGGCCTTTTCCTAAAAATGGGCTGGCGGAGAAAAAGTGCAATTGGTCCCCGATGTAAAAACAAGCAACTGTTAGAATTTGCACGCTCTGAACAAGCTCGCTCTGGGGGAGGACTCCCAGGGAATTAATTCTTGAAAATAATTGAAGATGCTTCGTTAAGTTTCCATCTTATTAATCAACACCATTAAGTGGAGAGGCAGATTCCTGGCTGGGGGGGGGGGTTAAGAGCGCCTGGCCCAGATGGGACAGCGGGTGCTTAACACCTACTTTGCGCCAAGGAGCATACGACGCTGTTTTTTCGAACCCTGGATTTGCTTCCAGAGGTCTGACTTTATGCTTGACCTTAAGTGAAAAGAAGGAAAAGAATCATGCTTTGCTAAATGTCTAGTTTAATGAAGAGAAGGACGAGGGGGGACAGGATAGCAGTCTTCCAGTATCTCAGGGGCTGCCCCAAAGAAGAGGGGGGGGGGTCCACCTATTTTCCAAAGCCCCTGAAGGCAGGACAAGAAGCAACAGATAGAAACTCACCAAGGAGAGAAGCAACCTGGAATTAAGGAGAAACTTCCTGACAGTGAGAACAATTAACCAGTGGAACAACCTGCCTCCAGAAGTTGTGAATGCTCCAACACTGGAAGTTTTTAAGAAGAGATTGGACAGCCATTTGTCTAGAATTGTATAGGGTCTCCTGCTTGTGCAGGGGGTTTGGACTAGATGTCCTCCAAGGTCCCTTCCAACTCTGATATTCTGTTAACTGGCAGATGGCAGGATCCAATTCTGTGAGAATCTTAGGGGGGGGATGAGTTGGGAAGGGGAAGGTCCCCCCCTCTCTCTTTCTCTTTTTCTCTCTGTCCTTCCCACCTCTCCATTCATTAGCCATGCAGCCTAATTCTGATTTCCTTTGTTTAACCAAGCTGAGTCCCCCGTGCCCAGCAAGATTGGATGTCAAAGGTCAGGGGACCTTTGCGATCGATAGGAAATCAATTTGAATCCAGAAGAACCAGCTCCCTTATTCGTCCAAGCCCGGGGAAGGAATGATCCATACAATCCTGGTTTATTGACAGGCAGGAAGAGGCAGATTGGAAAGCAAGACGGAAAGGGAGGTGGGTTGGAGACGCGCGGAGAAGTCCAGCCACAAAGAAAATAAAATAGAGAGAATGGACAACCATTTGTCTGAAATGGGATAGGGTTTCCTGCCTGAGCAGGGGGTTGGACTAGAAGACCTCCAAAGTCCCTTCCAGCTCTATTCTATTCTATTCTAGTCTAGTCTACTCTACTCTACTCTAGTCTACTCTAGTCTACTCTAGTCTACTCTACTCCTATTCTACTCTACTCCTATTCTACTCTACTCTACTCTACTCTACTCTACTCTACTCTACTCCTATTCTAGTCTACTCTACTCTACTATTCTATTCTGTTCTATTCTATTCTACTCTAGTCTAATCTAGTCTAGTCTAGTCTACTCCTATTCTATTCTATTCTATTCTACTCTAGTCTACTCTACTCCTATTCTATTCTGTTCTGTTCTATTCTATTCTACTCTACTCTACTCTACTCTACTCTACTCTACTCTACTCTACTCTACTATTCTGTTCTGTTCTATTCTATTCTACTCTAGTCTAATCTAGTCTAGTCTAGTCTACTCCTATTCTATTCTATTCTATTCTACTCTAGTCTACTCTACTCCTATTCTATTCTGTTCTGTTCTATTCTATTCTACTCTACTCTACTCTACTCTACTCTACTATATTCTATTCTATTCTATTCTAGTCTACTCTACTCCTATTCTATTCTGTTCTGTTCTGTTCTATTCTATTCTATTCTAGTCTAGTCTAGTCTAGTCTAGTATTCTATTCTATTCCATTCCATTCTATTCTATTCTATTCCATTCCATTCCATTCCATTCCATTCCATTCCTTGTAATTCTATTTTGTTCTGTTCTGTTCTTGGTCTTGAAGGGCACCCTTCCATGTAGATGTCTACATGGAGGTAACCATCACGTTGTGTGATGGTTGACTTATCTCAGAAGCTGGTGGAGATGCATCTGTCCAGGACAGCAATACCTCACCTTTCCTGAGGACCCACCTCAGACAGTGTCAGGGGTGCCCAGCAAGGGACAGGAAGGAGACCTTAATGGTATCGATGGTTGAAGCCCTGCACCGAATGACCTAACCATGGTCTCCTGCAGGAGACCAGCAGGTCTGCAACTATCCGGGCACTTCCTAAAGTTGCGTCTCCTTCTTGATTGCAGGCCATCATCTACGAAGGTCAGGATAAGAACCCCGAGATGTGTCGGGTGTTGTTAACTCACGAGATCATGTGCAGGTAAGTCGTGGATGGGCACGGCGGGCTGGGTGACATTAAAAGAGGACCCCTGGGAAGCTTTGAGCAGGACACTTTGAGGTGTGAAGGTGAGGCCATTTTGCAAAGCGCCAGAAGCAACAACCAGGATGATCTAGAGGTTGGAGTCAGTGGCTTAGGAGAAGGGGGATGGCTGCAGGGATGAGGGGGTCAAAAAAGTCAAAATGGCGACCACGGCTGTGATTGAAGAGTCCTGTTGCATGCAACAAGGGAAACCAAGAGGGGGAAATTTGAGAAACTGAAGAATTCAAAGCAGCCACAGCCATTTAGATTTCAGAAAAGGGGTTTGGCTGCCCACTGTTGGAGTCAGGATGTAGGAGTTGTCAGACCTTTGACCTGTGGCGGCAAAATTGGTCCAACATTCTGAATGAATAACCAGGATGTCCAGAATTAATCCTTCAGGTCTAGTTTAAATCAGTCGTCCTTCTGTTCTTATTCACAAGGGCCTGGGTTCACATGGCCTGGGTGAAGTGGTTTGAATTAAGATGAATGAGCAGCATTTTAACCCAGGTTTGTAGTCATGATTTGTAGAAAGTTGGTTCCCCTTAGCCACAGTTACAAGGGTGGAAGGAAGAAGAGGAAGAGAGGAATGAAAGTGGGAGGGAAGGAAGGAGGAGCAGAGGGAGAGAGAGGGAGGGAGGGAGAGGAAGGAAAGGAGGGAGGGAGACAGAAAGGGAATGAGGGAGAAAGGAGAAGGAGGGATGAGAAGGAAGGAAAAAGGAAGGAAGGAAGGAAGGAAGGAAGAAGGAAGGAAGGAAGGAAGGAAGGAAGGAAGGAAANCTATTCTATTCTACTCTACTCCTATTCTGTTCTGTTCTATTCTACTCTACTCTACTCTACTCTAGTCTAGTCTAGTCTACTATTCTATTCTATTCTATACTCTACTCTACTCTATTCTATTCTACTCTAGTCTACTCCTATTGTACTCTACTCCTATTCTATTCTATTCTATTCTATTCTATTCTATTCTATTCTATTCCATTCTATTCCATTCCATTCCATATTCTATTCTATCCTATTCTAGTCTACTCTAGTCTACTCCTATTCTACTCTACTCTACTCTACTCTACTCTACTCTACTCTACTCTACTCTACTCCTATTCTGTTCTGTTCTATTCTATTCTATTCTATTCTATTCTACTCTACTCCTATTCTAGTCTAGTCTACTCTACTATTCTATTCTATTCTATTCTATTCTATTCTATTCTATTCTATTCTATTCTACTCTAGTCTACTCTAGTCTACTCTACTCCTATTCTATTCTATTCTACTCTACTCTACTCCTATTCTGTTCTGTTCTATTCTACTCTACTCTACTCTAGTCTAGTCTAGTCTACTATTCTATTCTATTCTATACTCTACTCTACTCTACTCTATTCTATTCTACTCTAGTCTACTCCTATTGTACTCTACTCCTATTCTATTCTATTCTATTCTATTCTATTCTATTCTATTCTATTCTATTCTATTCTATTCTATTCTATTCCTTGTAATTCTATTTTGTTCTGTTCTGTTCTTGGTCTTGAAGGGCACCCTTCCATGTAGATGTCTACATGGAGGTAACCATCACGTTGTGTGATGGTTGACCTATCTCAGAAGCTGGTGGAGATGCATCTGTCCAGGACAGCAATACCTCACCTTTCCTGAGAAACACCTCAGACAGTGTCAGGGGTGCCCAGCAAAGGACAGGAAGGAGGCTTTAATGGTATCGATGGTTGAAGCCCTGCACAGAATGACCCAACCATGGTCTCCTGCAGGAGACCAAGAGGTCTGCAACTATCCGGGCACTTCCTAAAGTTGCGTCTCCTTCTTGATTGCAGGCCATCATCTACGAAGGTCAGGATAAGAACCCCGAGATGTGCCGGGTCTTGTTAACTCACGAGATCATGTGCAGGTAAGTCGTGGATGGGCACGGCGGGCTGGGTGACATTAAAAGAGGACCCCTGGGAAGCTTTGAGCAGGACACTTTGGGGTGTGAAGGTGAGGCCGTTTTGCAAAGCGCCAGAAGCAACAAGCAGGATGATCTGGAGGTTGGAGTAGGTGGCTTAGGAGAAGAGGGATGGCTGCAGGGACGGGGTGTGTGTCAAAAAAGTCAAAATGGCGACCACGGCTGTGATTGAAGAGCCCTGTTGCATGCAACAAGGGAAACCAAGAGGGGGAAATTGGAGAAACTGAAGAATTCAAAGCAGCCCCAGCCATTTAGATTTCAGAAAAGGGGTTTGGCTGCCCACTGTTGGAGTCAGGATGTAGGAGTTGTCGGACCTTTGACCTGTGGCGGCAAAATTGGTCCAACATTCTGAATGAATAACCAGGATGTCCAGAATTAATCCTTCAGGTCTAGTTTAAATCAGTCGTCCTTCTGTTCTTGTTCACAAGGGTCTGGGTTCACATGGCCTGGGTGAAGTGGTTTGAATTAAGATGAATGAGCAGCATTTTAACCCAGGTTTGTAGTCATGGTTTGTAGAAAGTTGGTTCCCCTTAGCCACAGTTACAAGGGTGGAAGGAAGAAGAGGAAGAGAAGAATGAAAGTGGGAGGGAAGGAAGGAGGAGCAGAGGGAGAGAGAGGGAGGGAGGGAGAGGAAGGAAAGGAGGGAGGGAGACAGAAAGGGAATGAGGGAGGAAGGAGAAGGAGGGATGAGAAGGAAGGAAGGAAGGAAGAGAAGGAAGGAAGGAAGGAAGGAAGGAAGGAAGGAAGGAAGGAAGGAAGGAAGGAAGGAAAAAGAAAAAGGAAGGAAAGAAGGATGAGACAGATGAAATAGAGGGAGGGAGGGAGGGAGGGAGGGAGGGAGGAAGGAAGGAAGGAAGGAAGGAAGGAAAAACGCCCAAGAAATTTTATTGAAAAGCTTTCACCTTGAGCTTCTCTGATAAAGCATTTCTGGCTGCAGCTCACAAATGCTTCTGCCTTTTAATAAATTTAGAGCAAAGCATTTTTAATGGGGATGGGGGGGTGTCAGTGTGCCTTAATGGTGCAGGTGGGTGCAGGTGGGAGGCTGGTGCTTGCAAGAAAAGGTGAGTGGGTAGGGAACATTGAACCTTGTTCCTTATCCTACAACAGGGATGTCCATCCTTGCAACTTTAAGACTTAGGGACTTCAATTCCCAGGATTCCCCAGCCAGCCACTGGCTGGGGAATTCTGGGAGTTGAAATCCACACATCTTAAAGTTGCCAAGGTTGGCCACCTCTCTCTTATGCCACAGATACCAACAGAATAACAGAGTTGGGAGGGACCTTGGAGGTCTTCTAGTCCAACCCCCTGCTCAGGCAGGAAACCCTACACCATTTCGGACAAATGGCTGTCCAGTCTCTTCTTAAAAACTTCCAGTGTTGGAAGCATTCACCGCTTCTGGAGGCAGGTTGTTCCACTGGTTAATTGTTCTCCCTGTCAGGAAGTTTCTCCTTAGTTCTAAGTGGCTTCTCTCCTGGATTAGTTCCCATCCATTGTTTCTTGTCCTGCCTTCTTCAGGCGTTTTGGAGAATAGCTTGACTCCCTCCTCTTTGGGGCAGCCCCTCAAATATTGGAAGATTGCTATCATGTCACCCCTGGTCCTTCTTTTCATTAAACTAGAATTAAACCCAGTTCCTGCAACTTCTGGCATCCTCCTCACTTCTCGGATCAGGAGGTGGAAGAAACTCACACGAAGTCCTGGCAGGACCCAAATCCATGCACTCTGGTGTGCTTTTGAACTCAAAGACTGGGCACAGGTGGATGCCACCATGTTGAAATGTAGAGCAAAGGCTTCAGGGGTCTTCAAACTCGGCCCTTTTATGACTTGTAGACTTCAACTCCCAGAATTCCTCAACCAGCGTGCCTGGCTGAGGAATTCTGGGAGTTGAAGTCCACAAGTCATACAAGGGCCAAGTTTGAAGACCCCTGATATAGACTTTAAGAGGAGTGGACCTCAACTCCCAGAATTCCTCAACCAGCGTGCCTGGCTGAGGAATTCTGGGAGCTGAAGTCCACAAGTCATACAAGGGCCAAGTTGGAAGACCCCTGATAGAGACTTTTAAGAGGAGTGGACTTCAACTCCCAGAATTCCTCAACCAGCATGCCTGGCTGAGGAATTCTGGGAGCTGAAGTCCACAAGTCATCAAAGGGCCAAGTTTGAAGACCCCTGATAGAGACTTTAAGAGGAGTGGACTTCAACTCCCAGAATTCCTCAGCCAGCGTGCCTGGCTGAGGAATTCTGGGAGTTGAAGTCCACAAGTCATACAAGGGCCAAGTTTGAAGACCCCTGGCTTAAGTGGAACCACAGGACTCAGGCTGGGCAGGCTGTGTGCGTATATGTTGCCTCTCTGGCTAAATTCACACCCAGGACCAGCCAGGAGGGGGGACCGCCTCCTTCACCATATGTGGGAGGTGGGTCCACTGGGTGTGTGTGTGTGTGTGTGAGTGTGAAGGAGCCACGCTCGCTCGACAGCCAAGCTCCCGGGTGTCCTATTAACGCCTGCTTTGTTTACTGCGTGTTCGCTCTTGGTGTTTTGAAAATTAGCACTGGCTGCCTCCTTGCCAAGTTTCATGGCTAATTGATCTTCAGGAACCTTGCTAATGATCCCAGGGGCTAAGGGAATAGCTGGGGTGGCTCGGGACTCGTAGGCGCGACTCGAGAGGGCAAAATATTGTGGCTTCCACGCACGCCGTTGGTTTTGTTGTTTATGGAACGACGGGTGGAATTGCCGGTCCCCCGAGGGCAGCCGAGGGAAAAAAAATGTAGAGCTCTCGGCTGTTTATCAGATCAGAGATTAATTATAGTTAATGTGAGGGATGGTACTCGCTCTAATGATTGAGAAAACAGTAATTGGGAAGGGATCTCGAAAAGTACGGCGTACAAAGGCATGGATGCTTAACACTGAGACAAGATCTGGTCATTCTCTCTTGTTTGGGGAGGGTCAATCCAGAAATCCACGTTCAACTGGCCGCGTCAGTGAGTTTTCATCTCTGGATTAACTACGTTTGGTCTAGGACCGTGGTGGCGAACCTATGGCACGGGTGCCAGAGGCGGCACGCAGAGCCCTCTCTGTGGGCGCGCGAGCCGTCACCCCAGTCCTAGACCTTCAGCTGGGTTTTATAAAACCTTTTCGCTTTAGGCCTCCGCCGCCGTGTGCAAAAAAAGAAAAAAGGTTCAATCAATCAGTCAATTTCAACTTCTCGCGGGGAAAAAAAAGATCTCGCAAAGTTGGAATTGATTGATTGAACTTTTTAGTCCCACCCAGTCTGCCGTTACCACCGCAGCCACGCCTACCCAATGGGCCACACCCACCCAATGGGCCACACCCACCCAATGGGCCACACCCACCCAATAGGTCATGCCCACCCAATGGGCCACAGCCATCCAATTGGCCACACCCACCCAATGGGCCACACCCACCCGGCACCCAACGATACATAAGTGGGTTTGGGGTTGCAGTTTGGGCACTCGGTCTCTAAAAGGTTCGCCATCACTGGGATAGGATTTACTGCTTAAGCAGGGGTTGGACTAGAAGACCTCCCAGGTCCCTCCCAACCCTCTACTATTCCATTACATAGTTGCTTGCAAAACAGGATTCCCAAAGAGGAATGTCAGTCCTGTTCCCAGGTGTCCAAACTTAGCAACTGCTTTGGAGTAGGAGTCCCCGTCGGCGTCTCTTTAAAGCAGCCGCTTCTTATAATAATAATAATGATAAAGTTGGAAGGGACCTTGGAAGTCATCTAGTCCAACCCTCTGCTCAGGCAGGAAACCCTATACCATTTCGGACAAATGGCTGTCCAGTTTCTTCTTAAAAACTTCCAGTGTTGGCACATTTACCGCTTCTGGAGGCAGGTAGTTCCACTGGTTAATTGTTCTAACTGTCAGGAAGTTTCTCCTTAGTTCTAGGTTGCTTCTCTCTTTGTGGTTGCTTTAAAAAATTACACATGAGCTTGTTCCAGCCCCCATAGGCAGCAAAGCCTGTTTTTGGAACAGAACCAAACCACCGCAGAATCTTCGTGGCCAAACTTTTTTGGGGGGAAAACTTGGGGAAACTTAATGCTCTTCTTTGCAGCCAGTTTCCCATGCTTCCACAGTGGGTTGATGTGCAGGACATCTACTGGGGTGTCTTTCTTGACTGCCCCCCCCCTCAGTGGTTTGCAAGATTTGTTCTCTGTCCTTGAGAGACAAACCAAGTTTCAGAACTCTTTGTGGCAAGGAGAACCAAGTTGCAAAGCGATCCAGGCTGTTATGGTTCCGGCTAATGAAACACTTCAAAGAACTTCCAGGCGTTGATTTTCCTAAAAGTAATTTATTGTTACAAAATGTCGGCACAGGCACAACGAAAATATGCTAAGATCTAAGTTCTCCTCCTCTGAGCAGTTAAATTATCAGCATGTTCCCTCCCTCAATTAGCTGTCATATATCACGTTATCCAATTAGTGTGAAAGTCAAAGGTTCCCTTCCTCTCTCTTTCCCGGGCTTTTCCCTCCACCCTCTTCTGCTCTGCATTAACCCTAAAAATACCAGCCAGTTCTGCATATTGTCAAAGCAAGAATATACAGTGTTTGCAGCGTTGACATCAGGCCCCTTGGGACTCTCTTAGTGCGTTGATTTCTCTGCATCCTCTCTGTGCTGGAGGGAATTTGGGAAAAGGCGATGCCTGCAGGCACCCAGTATTTCAGATTTCTGAAACATAAAGATGAACATAGTAGTAGTAGTACCTTCACAGTACCTTTTAATTCTATCTGGCAGGCCTAAATAGTTAAGGCAGTGATGGCGAACCTTTTAGAGACCGAGTGCCCAAACTGCAACCCAAAACCCACTTATGCATCGTCGGGTGCCGGGTGAGTGTGGCCCATTGGGTGGGCGTGGCTGCGGTGGTAACGGCAGACTGGGCGGGACTAAAAAGTTCAATCAATCAATTCCAACTTTGCGAGATCTTTTTTTTTCCCACGAGAAGTTGAAATTGACTGATTGATTGAACCATATTTTTTTTTTGCACACGGCGGCGGAGGCCTAAAGCGAAAAGGTTTTATAAAACCCAGCTGAAGGCCCAGGACTGGGGCGACGGCACACGTGCCCACAGAGAGGGCTCTGCGTGCCACCTGTGGCACCCGTGCCATAGGTTCGCCACCACTGAGTTAAGGGAATAGAAGAAGAATCAGGGTTAGTATGGGAAGGAAGGAAGGAAGGAAGGAAGGAAGGAAAAAGAAAGAAAGAAAGAAAGAAAGAAAGAAAGAAAGAAAGAAAGAAAGAAAGAAAGAAAGAAAGAAAGAGAAAGGAGGAAGGAAAGAAGGAAGGAAGGGAAGGAAGGAAGGAAGGAAAAAGAAAGAAAGAAAGAAAGAAAGAAAGAAAGAGAAAGGAGGAAAGAAGGAAGGAAGGAAGGAAGGAAGGAAGGAAGGAAGGAAGGAAGGAAGGAAGGAAGGAAGGAAGGAAGGAACTAACTTGAAGTCCTGGGAGTTGAAGTCCACGAGTCATAAAACAGCCAAGGTTCCCCACCCCTGCTTTAGATGTTCAGGGAAGGTCATACACAATCTTGAGTTTCTCCTTTGGCCTGACCACCCACCCCCCTCTCTTTTCTCCCAACCCCACAGCCGCTGCTGTGACAAGAAAAGTTGTGGAAACCGCAACGAGACCCCTTCCGATCCGGTCATCATTGACAGGTAAGAACAGTTCTGCATGTCCACGTTTACAGTTGTGCTGGGATAGCCGGAACCTGTGAGCAGAACTCAACCCAGATTTGGTTGAAGTCATAGAAAGTGACACGGAGTCAAGGGCGGCCCTCAAACAGTCTGTCTAACCAAATGACACTCATGGTTTGCAAGTTCTTTCTTTAGTTTGGTTAAGGCTAGAAAGCAGAAGTCCGTGAATTTTAGCCCCACCTTAGCCAAAAAAACTGGCTGGAGGACTCAGGGGCCAATCACCAGGAGACAGGGAACTCTAGTCCTGCCTTAACCATGAAAGCTAGCTAGGTGACTGTGGGCCAGTCCCCAAGAGACTATGAATACTAGTCCTGCCTTAGGCGTGAAAGCCGGCAGAGTGACGTTGAGCCGGTCCCTCTTTCTCACGCCAACCTAACTCATAGAGTTGGTCCTCTTGGTAAAAGAGGAACATGCGTTGAATATGTTCACCATTTCGAGTCGTTTATAAAAAATAATAAAGGTATGTGATACAATAAAGAAACAAACAAACAATGGTCAGAGTTAAATTGGGACTGGATAAGGAACAACAGAACTCAGGACATCGGTCTTTGTGACAACGCAATGACTCTAAATAGATGACAGGTTTAATCCCATCGTACAGCTCAGCCTGTAATAGAGTAATAGAGTTGGAGGGGACCTTGGAGGTCATCTAGTCCAACCCCCTCCTCAGGCAGGAAACTCTATACTATTTCAGACAAATGGCTGTCCAGTCTCTTCTTAAAAACCTCCAGTGTTGGACCATTCACAGCTTCTGGAGGCAGGTTGTTCCACTGGTTAATTGTTCTCACTGTCAGGAAGTTTCTCCTTAATTCTAGGTTGCTTCTCTCCTTGGTCAGTTTCCATCCGTTGCTTCTTGTCCTGCCTTCAGGAGCTTTGGAGAATAGCTTGACTCCCTCTTCTTTGGGGCAGCCCCTGAGATATTGGAACGCTGCTATCCTGTCCCCCCTGGTCCTTCTCTTCATTAAACTAGACATTCCCAATTCCAGCAGCCGTTCCTTGTATGTTTTAGCCTCCAGTCCCCTGATCATCTTTGTTGCTCTTCTCTGCACTCTTTCCAGAGTCTCAACATCTTTTTTACATCGTGGCAACCAAAACTGGATGCAGGATTCCCCATTTGCTCTTACCAAAGCCTTATAAAGCAGTACTAAGAGTTCATATGATCTTGATTGTTGATGCAGCCTAGGGCTGCGTTGACTTTTTTGGCTGCTGCCACACCTTGCGACTTGTGGCTCCACAATTCTACCTGTTGTGTACTGGGAGAAAAGGGAAATTTCTTTGGTTTGCAAGGCCGATGCATCTAAGACACAGCAGAAGCTGTTGGAGGAAGATTCAGGGGTGGGGGGTGGGGGCAGAAAAGGCAGCCCAGCCCCACCCAAACCTGGGGGGCTATGGGGAAAAAAAAGGATCCTTGCAAAGTTTAGCTAATTTCTGGGTTAATGTTCTTGTCCCGCCGAGGAGTCGTCTGCTTCCTTCCCTCCGAAATCAGGAAGCTTCTCCTATTGTCACCTTCTGGGCTTGTGTGTGTTTGTGTGTGTGTGTGTGCACGCACTCATGCAAGTCCCTTTCTCCCTCTCCCAGACAATGCGCCGAGGAGATGGTAGGGGCCCTCCTGTTCTGGCGTATGTATCCCGGTGGCAGTTGCGGGGTCTTGATAACACAACTGACATTTCCACAGCTTTTGTCCGCGCCCGATAACATCGGGCACCGGGCGAGGAGGCCCCATAACTGGGCAGGCCTGCCTGTCACTCAGCCCCGATGCAGAGGCCTCCGACCGCCAGTGGAGAAGAATAAGGACTGACAAGCCTGCGTGGAGATTAGAAGCCGAAGAATCAAAGCTATTAGAGGCTGTCTCGCCATTGTCCCTGCTGATCTTTTAGCCTTTCCTTCCATCGGCTCTCGCTTATTCTTCCTCGCACGCGGGACCCCCCCCAAAAATAAAATAAAATCCAGCCACCTTCAGATTAAATTCCAGCAAGTTTGTGGGTGTGAGGGATAGAATCAAGATCAGATGAAGTATTAATACCACTTTACAAGGCCTTGGTAAGGCCACACTTGGAATACGGCATCCAGTTTTGGTCACCGCGATGTAAAAAAGATGCTGAGACTCTAGAAAGAGTGCAGAGAAGAGCAACAAAGATGATCAGGGGACTGGAGGCTAAAATATATGAGGAACGGTTGCTGGAATTGGGTATGTCTTGTTTAACGAAGAGAAGGACGAGGGGGGACAGGATAGCAGTCTTCCAGTATCTCAGGGGCTGCCCCAAAGAAGAGGGAGTCAAGCTATTCTCCAAGGCGCCTGAAGGCAGGACGAGAAGCAATGGGTGGAAACTGATCAAGGAGAGAAGCAACCTGGAACTAAGGAGAAACTTCCTGACAGTTAGAACAATTAACCAGTGGAACAACCTGCCTCCAGAAGCGGTGAATGCTCCAACACTGGAAGTTTTTAAGAAGAGACTGGACAGCCATTTGTCTGAAATGGTGTAGGGTTCCTGCCTGAGCAGGGGGTTGGACTCGATGACCTCCAAGGTCCNTATTATTATTATTATTATTATTATTATTATTATTATTATTATTATTATTATTATTATTATTATTATTATTATTATTATTATTATCCTGGAGCTGGGCCAGAACGGACCAGGAATTTGCAGCACAAGATCTATATCAGTGGTGGCGAACCTATGGCACACATGCCACAGGTGACACTCAGAGCCCTCTCGGTGGGCACGCGCGCCGTCGCCCCAGTCCTGGGCCTTCAGCTGGGTTTTATAAAACCTTTTCGCTTTAGGCCTCCGCCGCCGTGTGCAAAAAAAAAAAAAAGGTTCAATCAATCAATCAATTTCAACTTCTCGCGGGAGAAAAAAAAGATCTGGTAAAGTTGGAATTGATTGATTGAACTTTTTGGTCCCAGCCAGTCTGCCGTTACCACCACAGCCACGCCCACCCAATGGGAGCAGCGCTTCTTCGGGGCTGTCAGGGCTCAGCGGAAGCGCCAGGATCAGTGCCAGGCTCCAGCTGGAGCTCAGCACTGATCCTGGTGCTTCCGCTGAGCCCAGAAGAAGCGCCGATCAGCTGGAATGTTGCAGCCTCTCCAGGGTCTTGTGATTTGCATTCAGATGCTTGGCAACCGATTCATATTTATGACGGTCACAGTGTCCCAGGGTCATGGGAAGGGACCAAAACCTGCTGCAACCACCCAGCAGACCGGGGGGGGGGGGATAAAAACCAAACACCCCCCACCCCACCCCCACTGCCAATCCTCAACAGAAATGCTCACAATAAAAACCTCGGACAGGAGGAAGAGTGCCGCTGGGTGGGCAGGCAGGTGTCTTGCTCGGCTGTGGCTTGGGGGGCACTTTTTTCAGTGCCATTGTAACTTCAAACAGTCACTAAGCGAACTGTTGTAAGTCGAGGACTACCTGTACTTCATCACTTTTTTCCTTTTTGGGGGGGGTCATCAAGTTTTTGAGACCTTGCTAGGCGACTGGTGGTCCTCGGATGTTGCCCTAGCCTAAAAGTGGTACAATGGGTGAAAAAGGTTGAAAAGCCCTGGACTAGTTAGTACAATTGCTGTCGTAAGCCGAGGACTCCCTGTATTTGACCAGGTCTCCGATGGTCAAGTCCTAAACTGCATTGGGTGGCCTCCGCTGTCTCTTGGTAGCAGGAGCGGGTTCGAATGCCGCCCTAATTCTCCCTTCCAAGCCCCTCCGCCCGCTTTCTCCTCTCCAGCCGCCCAATCCTTCCATTCCAGCTGACATGTTTGGGGAGCATGGGGCGTCCTCCCCCCCTCCTCCTCCTCCCCCTCCCTTTCTCTCCTTCCTCTGCCTCCTTCTCTCATCCCCTCGTTCCTCTCTCCTCCGACGGCGCCCGGCCAGCCCCTCTGGTTTAGAGAGCATGGTAAGTGCCCTATCAACATGTTAATCAAATTACTTAGGAGCTAAAATTGACGCTTTTCATTAATTATACAAGATTATTCTAATTGCGAATTCAAATTTATGCGCTCGGAACAGAAGGTGTTCGGCAGCGTGGCTGGGAATTTGCATGTTAAATGGGGAGCGCGGCGCATTAGGCATGCTAATGTATGCACATTGTCTTTATTTTTAACTCCCCGGGTTTCTATGCACCACTGCGACTTAAGGAGGTGAGCGAGTCGGACATGTGTTTATTCTTATTGCCTTCTCTTCTCCTTTCTTCGGAGGTGGAGGTAACCCAGGGGAGGGCAGCGGGTTGCGTTTGTGTGTGTGTGTGTGTGTGCAAAAATTGCAAATTCACTGTCAAGCTTGCGACGGGGAGGGCTGCCTCCTTCTTCTCCCACCCACCCACCCTCCCCAATTTATGAATTTTTCTTCTTCCGTCCTCTGTTCCTTCCCTCTCTTGATTACCACCTGCGAAGACCTCAGGAACTCTAACCCAAAAAAGCTAGTCCAAACTGAAATTTCCTTGGAAATAATTCACTCCTAGACATTTAACAAGACAACAGAGTTGGGAGGGACCTTGGAGGTCTTCTAGTCCAACCCCCTGCTCAGGCAGGAGCCCTATATAATTCCAGAGAAATGGCTGTCCAGTCTCTTCTTAAAAATCTCCAGTGTTGTTGCATTCACTGCTTCTGGAGGCAGGTGGTTCCACTGGTTAATTGTTCTCACTGTCAGGAAATTCCTCCTTAGTTCCAGGTTGCTTCTCTCCTTGATTGGTTTCCATCTTTTGCTTCTTGTCCTGCCTTCTTCAGGTGCTTTGGAGAATAGCTTGACTCCCTCTCCTTTGGGGCAGCCCCTGAGATATTGGAACACTGCTATCATGTCTCCCCTAATCCTTCTTTTCATTAGACCTACCCAATTCCTGTAACTGTTCTTCGTCTGTTTTATCCTCTAATCAAATTTCCTGCTCTTCTCTGCACTCTTTCCAGAGTCTCAACATCTTTTTTACATCGTGGTGACCAAAACTGGATTCCGCATTCCAAGTGT